CGGGAGGAGCGGCCGCCGCGAGCTGGGGCCTCGGGGCAGGCTTGCCGCGCCTTGCGGGCCCATCTTGGGCCGCCCGCGATCCCCGCGCCTGTGGCGCCACCAGCCCCCGGCACGGCTTATAGAATCAGGAACTGGACGGCCGGGGCCTGCCCCGCCCCGGCACGGGACATGACCCCAAGCAGGCGGCGGGCTGGGGAGGCCGTGTCCCGCGCCCCCGCCGTTTGTCACCCAGGCCCGGGGCCGCGGTGATGGGGGAGGAGCCAGCGGAGATGAGCCCTCGGGCTCCCGCTGCCCCGCGCCGTGGAAAGTCCGCGGATGCTTGGAAGGGGCCAAATCAGAGATGAACGTTGCACCGCGGCATCCCAAAGGAAAAAATTTGTTCTTTTTAATAACGCTTCACACACGGTTTACAAAGCATGTTACATCCCTCACCTCCTGTAAATCTCACAACAACCCTGTCGGCTAGGCATTATAATTAGTGCCCGCTTTTCCGGAAGAAACAAGCTTGTAAATGGTTGAGGCTGTGACTCCAGACCTGAACTATGATGTTTTAACTACTTGCCAGTCATTTCTAGCACAAGAGCCCAGCCTGGTGGATGGTGAAAAGGCAGAGCTCTAGATGTCGTTTCAGATTCATTTATAAATAGCGGACACCGATGAAGACACTTCCGCCCCGCTAGCAAACAAGGGGCTAAGTACGCACTTCTACTGCCACAGCCCTTCTGAAAGTGTGGTTTTACTTCCAGGTTGCCCTGGGAGTTGTTTTGGGGTGTTGCGTGGTCATCGAATAGCTCCTTAGCTTGTCCAGATGTTTAGAGCCAAAGAAACCAAAAAAAGAAAGAAACAACCAAAGAAATCCAGTATCTAATTTGCCTGAAATATCTGTGGGTGGAAGGAAAAATTCCTTCTACCACGTGCTCATTGAATTGGGAAGTTAGCCTTATGACCAGTATATTCCCATTGCCGTCTGAGACTTTCTGCTTACTCTATGTCTGGAGATTGTAGCTATTAACAGGTGTGGGGGAATTTTTTTTTGCATTGCCTAGAGAACATATCCTTTCAGGCTATCCGAGTCTGATTCCATGGGAGTTATTTTACAACTTTATAAATTGTAAATAAATGACAGCAATAGAAAATAATCCTTGTTTACATATATGCAAATGAACTCTGTACTGTGGAGTGACAACCCTCCCACTCCACCACTAAGGGAAAAAGTTTTGCCTCCACTTGCACATTTAAAATTTCTGATCTGTTTTTTGGATTGTCCTTCGAACTGGTTTTAGCACCTTACTAGCTGCCTCACTAATGGGTTAAATAAAATCTCCTATATCATGTATTCTTGTTTATATTGATATGAGGGTCATGATTTTACCTTTTTAAAAAAAAAAACTTGTTTAAGACATGAAATATTTCCTTCTTACATGTTTATACTCTTTTTTTCTTTGCACGCAGTAGATTATGTTATATCCACTTTTCATCTCTAGTAGAATCAATGAAATTTAGCTGGAAAATTTTAAAATTTTAGCATTAACTAAATTCAAAAGAGAGTAACTTTGAAAAGCTGTTTGATTCATTATGTTAAGGCTTGAACTTTTCACTTAAAGACCCTGTAAGAGACCTTGAAGGACTGAGAATTCCCACTGCGGCCCTTGCATGTCCTTCTTCCCGTAACTGTTCTCCCTACCCTCCTTGATAAAAATCCAGTTGCCCAAACAATGGCTGCTAATCTGCAGGAACAATTCCTCCTCTAACCAGCTGCTCCTGAAACTAGCTAAACTTGTGCTGAGACTTCCCATGTCCTGCATTTTCAAATAAAAACTTATTTTAATGGTGCCCTGGAAATGTGCAAACGGAAGGGTTAATTATACTTTGCATCTATGTGTGAACACCCATAATGGAGTACAGACTAGTTATTTTCTAAAATCTGTCAGTTGGAGTTCTGTTTCCTCGGGTTATGGGTTTGTGCAGGAATATCTCAAAAGTGATGTGGTATGCTTCTGGATGCTTCACATTAAGAGGCACATGATGTTGATTTCCTCTCTTATGGAATTACTTTGTTAAGGTAGTTATTTCTCCACTGTAAAGTTGCTGTTTTCCTGTTATAATTAATAGGTATCTTATGGAGAGGTATTTTGAAAATATGTAAATATTCTTTTATTCCTGAAACTTTTGCTTATTAGTTTTAGCATCTTGCTTCTTGCTTCAATCAGTTATAATTAGGATGACTACCAAATCATTATCTTCTAATTTCTTCATTTCTTCTGTATTTGTTAGTTACCTTTCTACTGTAAGGAAGAACTTTCCCTGGTCTCTTATTTATTTATTTATTCCACTATGAACTCATGGATTCTTGTTTTAATAAATATGCTATAATCCTTTAGTATAATTACTTGAATGCTCAGATTTTCTGATTTGGCCATTGGGAGCCACTTCAATCTGGTTCTGGTATCTTTCTGGCTTATCCTCTTTAATCTTTGAGAATTTCCTTAATTTTTGGTTCAATGTGATTTTCTAGACCCTTATTGTACTTTTCCTTCACCAACCCTAGAATCAAACATTTCTCCAAGGAACGCTAATTATTTTTAGTGGAAAATGGCCTTTAGAAACCAAGAATCCAAGATCTGTGCTCATTGCTACTGGGCTGTCATTGCTTCTAGGGTCTCTTACCAGACAAAAATATGTATGAATATATACATACACACATACATATGTGTTTATATATACATACCCACATACTATACTATATACATATATACTATGTATGTATATATATAAAACCATGAGTTCATAGTGAATACCTCCAATTCTGTTTCCCCCACCCTTTCCATATGTGTATGAATTGTACTAATTTTCATTATCAGCAGCTATTAAAAAGTACTATGTTGAAGACAGTTTGGCAGTTTTTTACAAAACTAAACATACTCTTATCCTATAGTCCAGCAATTGCACTCCTTGGTATCTACCCAAACTGACAACTTATGTTCACACAAAAATCTGCACACAGATGTTTACAGCAGCTTTATTTATAGTTGCCAAAACTAGGAGGCAACCAAGACATCCTTCTTCAGTAGGTGAATGGATAAACAAACTGTGGTACAGCCAGATGATGGAATGTTTTTCAGTGCTAAAAAAAAAAAAGAGCTATCAGGCCAGGAAAAGACATGGAGGAAACTTAAATGCATACCATTAAGTGAAAGAAGCCAATCCAAAGAAGCTACATACTGTATGAGTCCAGCTATAGGACATTATGGAAAAGACAAAACTATGGAAATAGTAAGAAAGATCAGTGGTTGACAGGGGCTGGGAAGGAATAAATAGGTGGAGCACAACTTATTTTTAGGGCAGTGAAACTACTCTTTATGGTACTATAATGGTAGATATATGTCATTATACATTTGTTCAAACCCACAGAATATAGGATACCAAAAGTGAACCCTAATGTAAACTAGATGTTGGGTGATTATGATGTGTCAATGGGTCAGGTTCATGGATTGTAATTCTGGTGGGTGATGTTGATAATGGGGGAGGCTATGCATATGTGGGGGCAGAGTATAAATATTAAATCTCTGTACTTCTCAATTTTGCTGTAAACCTAAAACTGCTCTTTTAAAAATGGCCTTAAAAAGGCACTATACTTTTTAATTTTTTCCAATCTGATATGATATCTCAGTATAGTTTTTTGTTTGTTTTTATTTTTGCATTTCTCTTATTGAGTAAAGTTAAACATCTTTTCATGTGTTGAAAGGCTATTATTACATTTTTGTGAATTGCCTGTCATTTTTCAATTAGGTTTTTGAGGTTTTTTTCCCATCAATTTTAAGCATTTTTTATGTATTAGAGAGGTTACCACTTTTAACTATAATATGCACCACAAGTATTTTCTCCCAGTTTGTCATTGTCAAATTTTTATGGTGTTTTTAACATGCAAAAGTTATTTTTTTAGGTTTAGTCAAATTGATCAGTTATTTTAAATTACATGTGGATTTTGAGTCATAGTTAGACTATCTTTACACTAAAGCTAAAGCAAAATTTACCCATGTTCTCTCCTAGTACTTGTACGGTTCAGATCCCTGACCCATTGGTATTTATTTTTGTGTATGATTCGAGATATGGATCTAATTCTCTTCCCACATGGCTACCCAGTTGTCCCAGCACCATTTATAGGGAAGTCTAAAATATTAGTCTAAGATATTCATGGGGAAGTCTAAGATATTAGCTCTAGTGATATGGGATGCCATCTCTGTTGTATGCTTTATTTATATATATGCTTGGGTTTGTTTCTGGACTTTGTGTTCCATTTTAGTGACCTGTTTATTCTGAGTGCCAGACTGTCTCAGTTATAGAAGCATTACATTATGTTTTAATGTGTGGTATGGCTGCATTTTCACTTTTAGTGTTTTCCTGGCTATTCCTGTATGTTTATTTTTTCATGTGACCTTGCATATTAACATGTCTAGTTCCATTTATAAGTGTTGTTGGTATTTTATTAGAATTACATTAAGCTTATAAATTAATTTGGGGAGAACCAAAATCTTTATGATATTAAGTTGTCATATTTAAGAACAAGGGATGTCATATTTAAGAACAAGGGACATCTTTTCATTTATTAAGGTCTACTTCTGCATCTTTTAGGGGTCTTTTAAATTTTTCTTCATAACAGTTTTGCATGTTTTTTGTTAAATGTATTCCTAAGTATTTCATCTTCTC